TATGTCATGAAAACAAAGCTGTGTGTGGTTGTGAATAACATGTTGTCCATCATCATTTATCATTTACTGTTAAGAAGGCAGAGTTTATTTTACTAACCACAACCAAGATATTATTTGAATAGAACCTGACTGAGTAGGTTTTTAAAACATAAAAAACACAATGCAACAAATTAATTAACAATTCCAAATAAACTACTAATTATATGTTGGAAGATAAAAGTGAAAAAGAGGTAAACGTCAGGGATAATCAGGCTCACTGAAAAAAATGAGGTACCTTGGAAGTTAAAGACACCCCAAAACAACATCCAGAGTTTACTCAGATTTATTAAACACATAATCATGAAAACGACCCCTTTATCTTTTGGGAAAACATTTTAAGGATTAACAAGAAAAAAATGTATTGAAAGGTGTGTGTCCTGTTACATCTATGAAAAATCACTACGGCAAAAGGACCACATACTGACATTTAAATAGATTGGTGATAGCTGAGGATTTGGTGATGCTCTGCTCCAACATCTAGATGAAGTTCCGTGAAAGAGGGAACCCTTAATTTGGTCGGAATTTTGCCTTGACTGATCAAGGAAGCTACCCTCTATATTTGGGTCAGAGTATAACCACATCTAAGCAACATGATTTATGTTTTAGTTGTTCTAAAACATGCATGCATAAAGTACTTTATTGAACATTACTTAACATGATACAGGGCAGAATGAAAAACAACCGGCTTCTATAACATTTTCCATATTGAGTAATCCACCATTAAATCAGTTATTCACAGAGGAGGTTTAAGGGCATTAATGAATCATACATGCAAATACATAGATTTTTAAAGGCTTATGTAAAAAAAAAGTAGTCTTTTGCAGTTTATTTTAGTGTAATATTTACCAGAATATCCTAAAGGGGTATGTCCCCATCCTTGGTTTGTGACCTTAGCTCACGTTCAGGTGTACATGGGCTGTGCAGCAGAAATGGTCTACAGTAAAGCACAGCTGCATGTTCTTGAGTGGCCTCATTAAAGTCAAAATTTAATTCTGATCAAGATGCATCTGCAGTGCATGCTACAGTACCCTTAAGTTGCATGCCCAAAGTGGGTCCTAGTGGGTCGCTGTCCTGCAGGTTTTAGAGGTTTTTCTGCTCCTGATTTTCAGTGATAGCTGATTAACAGGCTTTTGGTGAATTGCAATCATCAGAATCAGCTGTTCTAAGAAAGTGAAACCTCTAAAACCTGCAGGACAGCGGCCCTCGAGGACCAACTTTATGCATTCTGAGAATGAAAATAGTTCTGCATAAATGAGGGATAAAATTCCTCTATAGCAGTGTAAAGGACTCCACAGTTTTTCCAACACTTGATTGCAGATGTTTCTCCAAAGGGGGACATAACAGGTTATGAGATGTAGCAGCAAATTACTTCTTTAAACATGTCCAGGTTAATTGGGAGAGTTTATCTTCCTTAAAACATAAAATAATCATATATTTACTTTAGTTATCTTTTTCTTATATTTTATTTTAAAGTGACAAAAAAGCTGAAACATGTGCAATACACAAGGAGGCAAATACCTCACAACAGTGCATTATAAATGAGTACATTTACATTAAATGTTAAATTATTAAATTAAATTATTTTAAGCATTTATTTCTCTCAATCTTGCATCAATAAAACCCAACCTCCAATACATCTGGAAATGTTAATATGACATAAGACCAAAAAACATAAAGGAATTACTGTATCAGTGTAGAAATGTCAGCCACACCACCTTGGAAAAGATTGCTGATTGGACATTGGTCAGGTAGAGGGTCATAGCTAAGCCACAAAAGGTTTAGGAAGCTGGAGAGTTTGCATACGGATGTATCCAAGCAAAATAATTAAAATGAATGACTATGACCTGCATGACCGAGAATCTACTCCGTGTTGTTCAAGCATTTATGATTATACAGGAACAAAAGTTGTCATCGTTACAACTATTTAGCATCTGGCAATGTTGTTGTACACACTTGCAGAGGAACACTCATGTGCACACTGTTGTAAACTCTTCTCCTTCCACTCCTGACATAGTTGGTGCTAGGCAAGCACTCATTTGGCCCAACAAAAAGGTGGTGGTACATTACCAAGTGTTTCCTTTCTCCAGTAGCTGGAGCTTCCAGCACTCAACATTGAAGAATCCAGAGCTTTGCTAGCTCCAGTGCAAAGATAGCTCCAGCACCAGTCCAGTGCAAAAGGTTTAGAAAAAATGGTTTAGGTTTAGGATAATCAAGTGCAGATATGAGATGTCAAAATCTAAATAATTCTAAATAGATCTCAAGTTGTTTCAAAGGCAATAAAAACAACCTTTACAATACTACATTATTGGCTGCTTAATGTCAGTGAGTTTTGTAAACTATTGTAAACACAGTTAAGGTGAACGAATGCTTTATATGGTCTAGAATCGTATAAAACCTGCAAAGAAAACTTAAAAATATCAGGTTGGGAAAGTTGGAAAAACTTTAGAGGGTCTTCGTATCCCTCATTGTATACTGTACCATTGTTACCAAGAATTAACTTGTGTTTTTTAGAACCTGTGGGTTCTGTAGGCCTGCCTAAAATACCCGATTTGTGACTCAAACTGTTTTAGTCCATGATCAATAATAAAGAATAAAAGTTAAAAATGAAAAAAATATAGTAGCATTCAGCAAATGTTTTGATGGATTATATTTTTTACATTAAGGTCATTGGCCCACATGTAAAGAGCAGACAGTCAGAA